TGTGAAGACCCTTAAAAAACCTGTGAAAAATTCACAGAGATTTCGGAACATCTGTTGGTCATTCACAGAGATTTCGGAACATCTGTGAAAAATTCACAGAATTTTTGACTCAGAGGACAAAAACAATTGTCAATTAGGGGAACTGTCTGTAATTTAACGAACTACGACCAAAACGCAACAATCACCGACCAAGAATGAATTCCACGAGCAGTGATGATGTCGGATCACAGATCCCCGTGCAGAAGGAGTGAGCAAGTCGGTCAGGCCCCGATTCCAGTTCAGATTCACACCAAAATGCGGAATATCCCAGAGGAAGCTTCTTTCCTTTCTTCATCTGGTTTTTAATAAACTGTGCGTAATCTCTGATCCTTTTCCGTTCTACACGGGTCAATTTCGTCCGATTACCAAGAAACAGCTTCACCATCTCCTCTGTGCTTTTCCTTGACGCTCTTGTGTAGATGGGCCTTTGGTTCACAGCATTTTCGGTTTCTAGCACATCCCGTTCCGCATCTTGGATCGGATAATTTGGAGCAACAGATTCCCCATCATCGCTGCATCTTTTCGGTAACAACCAGCAGTAGACATGCTCTGTGCCTCTCTTTCTCAGGCATTTCTTCCTGAGAATGTACGGCGAAAAATGAAGCATCGCAACAAAACATCATTGCTGCAGAATGCCATTGCCACCACCCATCAGCAATTCTACCATCCTCCTTTTCTTTTCCCCTGTCGTCATCACCATTTTTGATTCTGCGGATCCAGCATTTATCGTTGATGCTACTGCAACTTCTTTGGGATTGTAGCTACTTCAAGTAGCAGCAGGAACAGTAAAAAACCCACCCCTAGCATCGTTCACCTTCTTGAACCTTTGCTGCGCGAGTCACACATGGGATCCATGCATATGCATCTGGTTGCCCAAAAGGTAGAGCTGCTGCTAGGAAGAAAGCAATCCAAGTCCATTCTGTTATGCTGCTGACCTAACCAACCGTATATAGTCACATCGCCCTTAATGGTTCTGCGTTAATTGCTTTTTTGCTGTGTGCTATTTTTTAAATGCATGTCAAATGTCGATCCTGGCGCATGCGCTGGTAGTTTTTTTATCCTTTATTCAGATAATATATATATTGGGCAGCACCCGACACCTATGTACTGCCCGCCATGCTCCCTACCAGGTATGATATTTTGCCTTGAAGACGGAGTATACCGATTTCCCCTCCCCCAAGGAGAGCTGGTAGTGATTTTGTATTGTGAAGGATGTAAACAGGATGAAACTCCGACCATCTCAACGCATGCAATAGCGATGCTTAGTCTTAACAACATTGAGAATGTGGTGAAGCTTAGCGAGGGAGCATTGTAGTCAAGATTGGGAATCTTGATACCTGTATAAGATACTTTGGATACGTTAGCCGTTGGGGTGCAGACGTTCAGTAACGGCTATCATCTGATGGACAAACAGACGACTTTCGACTAGGTCTAGCCATTGGCGGTTCTGCGAATCAGCTTGACGCAGTCATGGCCAGGCTCAAACGACTAGAGATGGCTAACGCCTCATTGAGAGAAGAAGTGGCCAGACTAACTGCTGACGCAGCACCTCAGCCGGAGTTGTCCCCAGCCCCTTCATCAGCTATGCTTCAACAGCTGAAAGAACGAGTCTCTCATTTGGAACAGAAAGACAACAAGAAGGTTAATGTGGCGGGATTCTCCTTCGGAGGGGTGGCGGATTGTCGCCATTTTTTGAATACCAAGATGGTATTTGACTCCGAGTCCAGTGGTCTTTTTGGTACAGATGTTGTATCTATCGTTGACGGCGTGTCAACTGAGGGGGGAGAATCGCTGCCAACAGATGTCCTGAGGAGGGATGAATATGCGACAAAAGCGGGTTTCGATAATATCATGGCAGCCAAACTGTACTCGTCCATCCAAAGACCCATCCCAATCCCTCTCGCTGGGAAAGGAAACCACCCGTCACCGGCCATTAGTACATTTGCAAAGTGGGACAAACAGGATGGAATGCGAGGACTCCGGTATGAGATAACAAGAGGGGTGGACCACAAGGTGAATCAAACCACTGAATGGATCCGAGCTCAGTTGAAACATCATCCTGAAGCTGTGCTAGTGTTTACCACTCTGGTGCTAGACTCGAACCAACACTGGGTGGCTATCTCTACCTTTCTCACTAACCAAAGAGGTATTTGCATGCAGCAAAGTGACGACGAAGCTGAGGCTTGGGTGTATCCATGTGAGGTTATCAAGGGCGTGTTCATGGAGCTTCATCATGTTCTAAGTGTGGGTGCTATGAGATCTAAACTCGGTTGACTTACCCTCAATGATGCAGCAAGAATGATGTGGGCTATCCTGCGGTGCCATCAACTCATGAATTCATTTATTGATCTGAAATTCACGGGACATCCAAAGCTTTCTGGAAATTCGTTGAGTCATCTGTTTTGTTACAGATTGATCCCCAAGAATTTGGACTCGATGAAGGCACAGCTCTCTCAGTTTCAGAGGGAAATGACCAGGTTTAATGCTAAGCTGGCCAATAAGAAAGACAGGGGCGCTTGAGAGGATGGTACAGGGCAGGTGGAAAGGGATCACAACCAAGGGGAGATGGATATGGAATTGTCGGGAGTGGTACCATCATTGCAGTTGTTGGGTGATTGTCCCACGGCTGGCCTGATAGTACGAGGAGTCGGAGAATGGTCGTGGGTGGTGAAAAGCCTAGGAATGACAGTTAGTTGGGTTTGGGCCAGAAGGAAGACTGGCTCCCTACTTGGTTGCTACCAGAATTGCCGGGAGTAGTTATGACGACTAATCGGAACCGGTTATCCACAGTAAACGTTATTTTATGTGAGCACAAACCTCCTAGCTGGTTGGCGGACTGGGATCCAGCAAACTTGATCGTATCTACAATGGATGGTAGTTTTTGAGGTCCAAGTGGTCTAAAAGGATCAAGATGACGCACAATGAGTTGGGAGGACTGACCACAGCTTCTGTGCACTTACAGGCTTACAGCTCAATCGATCGAAAATGGGTTCAGCCGACCCCATTGCAGACTCTTCCCACCACGGTTTATTCTGTGGCCAGTGACACAGTCGATATGGGGACTAAGGTATCAGGGCCAAAGATCTTGATGCTGATGGGAAAATCGAGGGTCCAACGGATAGCTCCCAACACTTACCATGGGGGAGGCTTGTACCTATTGGATGTAAAGCCAGGAGTAAAGCCGTTTTTCATATTGAAATCGGTCCTGGTCAATGGATGGGTAAGGCGAAGGTTGACAACGGTGGAAGAATGGACAGTAAAGGATGCGCCAGTGAGAATAGTGAAGTTAGCTCAAGAGGCAGGGGAAGATATGAACCGACTGTGGAAGTCATGAAGGCCTGGTTGGTGTCTGGAACATGGACTGCGTCATCTGCTATCAGGCATCGGTGTTATTGATAGGGATGGGCGGATTTCCAAGAAGTCACTCACCTTCGGACGTGCTGAAGAGGAACCCCCAACTCAAGTCTCGGTGAAACATGGGATTGCTGAAATTACAAGAAGTTTGCATGACACTTCCTTGAGAAAGGAGTCGAAAAAGCTGAAGCAACAACGGATATCCGCATCGGATAAAATTGGTGAGACGCGAGCCAAGTTGGAAGGGCCGGAAGATTGGGATCCAGAGGAAGAAGTGGATGTGAAGGCCACGAAGAGCGATGATGCAAAGGTGGAGTGTTCCAAGTGGAACAAAGAGGTCATTCGGACGTTGGGATCTCCAGAGTTGTCAACATTACATCCAGCGGAGTCTGATCAAAAAGACCAAAGATACGTTTGGACTGAGAATGGTCGCAATCTATATGATGAGTGGTGGAGACAGAGTTACAAAGAGGATCGAAAGGAAGCAGAAGCGGCTTGGGATGCTCTAAGTCGTCTCGCTGATACTACTTGGTGGGAATGGAAGGGCGGATCTAGATGCATGCATTGGAAGTGGCCGAGTTTTTATCAGAGCACAATACGCGATGGTCTCGAGGGACGCTTCAAGTACACACCTGAAGCCTGGACCCAACCTCAGCGAGCTGGGCAGAATCTTAAAGCTCACGGACTGATGAAGATCAAACTTAAGTTAGTTTGAGCGAAGCGGTACATCACGAAGGGATTTGTCAAGTCATTGACCTCTTTCTTTGGAGTTGATAAGGGCTTGTTCGATATCAGAATGGTGTATGACGGTACCAAATGGGGACTGAATGATTCTCTGTGGGTTCCGGGGTTTCCTCTGCCAACTGTTGATACAATGCTAAGGGCTGTAACATACGATACTGTCATGAGTGATTTTGACATCGGAGATTGTTTCTTAAATTTTGTATTACAGGAGACTCTCCAATCTCTGTGCCGAGTCGATCTTACCAAATACTTTGGAGAAGGTGATATCTTGTGGGAACGCTGGGTTCAAGCCGCGATGGGATTGAAAAGTTCACCGTACCAAGCTGTGCAAGCCATCATGGTGGCCAAGGAGATTGCCTTGGGAGATAGGAAGGATCCGAAGAACTCATTTAGGTGGGACGAAGTTAAGTTGAACCTACTAGGATCAAGTACGTATGATCCCAGCTTGCCTTGGGTGTTCAAGATCCGGTGGTCTGATGGTAAAATCGCTGCGGATTTGTTCATCTATGTTGACAATGGCCGAGTTACTGCATCCAACAAGTTGGAATGTAAGCGGGCAACAAGACAGGCGGCTAGCCGTTTGAATGGACTTGGTATTCAAGAGGCAGCGAGAAAACGAAGATGGGGATCACAAAACCCAGGAGCCTGGGCTGGACCCTTGGTAAAGACCACTGAGGATTCAGTGAGTGTGTTCGTGTCTCAAGAAAAATGGGACAAGACCAAGTTGCAGGTCAAGCAGATCGTGGAAGAACTTAGTGGGTCAACATTGGGGTCTTTAAAGCACAAGCCGCTAGAGAGAAAGCGCGGGTTTCTAATCTATGTTACTCGAACTTATCCAACGATGAGAGCCCCCCAGTTCGGAGAGTACGCAGTAAGAGGGTAATGACAGTATACTATGGATTTGGAGACGCATCAGTGGTTGGATTTTGCAGCACGTTTCAGCACTTCCCTAAGCAAGGAAACAGTTTCATCGCGGAAGACAAGATTCATTATCAATATGGGCACTGGTGCACATCCAACAGCGAGGAATCTTCTAATTATAGGGAGCTGCTGAATCTGGTGAAGTCTCTGGAAATGCGAGTGCGAAATGGCGAATTGTATGGTGTGGAAATCTTTTTATTCACTGACAATTCTACCGCTGAAAGCGTGTTCTACAATGGGAACTCGTCCTCCAAAAGATTATTCAATCTCATCCTAAGGTTGCGGCGGGTACAGCAAGAAGCCGACTTGATCCTTCACCTCTTGCATGTGTCGGGCAAGAGAATGATAGCGCAGGGTACGGATGGTGGTTCAAGGGAGATTTGAACCAGGGGGTCATGACGGGAGAGAATATGCTGAGCTATGTACCTTTGCATCTTTCTGCAGTGGATAGATCTCCGTCAGTGATTGAAATACATGGGAAGAAAGATTGGGAAAATTGGAGCATCTGGGAATAGGTGATTGGTTCACAAAGGGCCATGGGAGAGGAAATTTTCTGTGGACGCCCCCTCCGGCTGCCGCGGATGTGGTGGCGGAGCAAGTAGGAGAGGCGAGGCATAAGCACCCTGAATTGTGTCATATTGTGATTGTCCCACGCTTAATGACGGGGAGATGGAGACGGCTACTTACGCGACAAACCAACTTCAATACCACCATACCATTGGGTTCCAGTTGCTGGGGCCATCAAGAGTTTGGACCACTAACAATGTTTGTCTATCTTCCTCTTATACCCCACAGACCTTGGAGTTTGCAAGGAACCAAGTTATTGGAAACATTGGAGTGGCAACTGCGCGCTGTGCGGGAATGCGGTGAAGAACGGAGAGGGGAATTTCTGCGGGAACTTTTCTTTTGCACGTGGACACTTTCCAGCATGCCGGAAAGTGCGGTGTCCAGAATGCTGCACCGTACTTGCTGGAAGTCCCTATCCTATAAGAACAGCAACTGATGAAGACGGGTTTGAAGTAGCAATCAATGGAGATGAAGATAGATTTTGAGTGGCCAGAGTCGGGGATTTTTTGATGACTCCATTTCAGTGTGACATTTGTCATTTTAGAAATGTCATGAAACGGAACCCTGATATTTGAAATGAGAAGCATCTGCTTTTCATGCAAGACATTTGCCACGCAAACATAAATGCGAATTGGTCCCGCGAGTCAAGCACGGTCAAGGCAAATTTTGCACAAGTCAAAAAACTGGGAAAGGTGGGTACCGATATGTTTGGAATCCCAAGTGTAACCCTGGTGACGGGCCCGTTCCCTTTGGACGACACATTTGGCATGGCCATAGCAGCTTGCCTACGTAGAAGATCTCTGGACCCTGGCCGGAACGAAAACACCATTCAGTTTGCCACAGCTCGGAGATTCCGATCCGCGTTCTCTAATGCTTACCATGCGTCAAAGAATGTTGGCAACATCAGCTCCATGGCATATGAAGCCCACAAGTTCTACACTACAACATGCCCCACTTACGGATATTGGTTTGCAAGGTTTATTCTGGGGTGTCACAAGAGAATTGGAGATATGCAAGTGTTGAAATTGCTCTCTTGGAGACCATTCATTGGAAACTCCTTGATAGAAGCTGTTCGACACGTCCGATCGGACTGACGGACAAACGTCCGTTTGGTCCGTTTATTCGGGGGATTCCTATGAGTCGGTTTTTGCAGGGAATCCGAAAACATGGAATTGTGCGCTAGGACCATCAAACGTCTGAGCGCCACAAAAATCCCATACTGAATCCTGCGGGAGTTCTGTACGTGGGTTTTGTACCGGCCTTTCTGGATTGCAAACATCCAGTAAAGGTTTGGGAAATTTGAGTTTTCGTGCAAGGCTTTTGCTTTGCCCATTCCATGTAGATAACAAGTCTTTTAGAATAGTTATTTCCTGTAGAGATGATTATTTCCTATTAGGCGGATCGGAGATCGCTATGGTCGGTGCCTCTGCATGACGACTTGATGGGTCGCATATTGGCACGGCTGGTTGGCAATGATGGCTTTATGGGCCACAAAGTTGTCAATCGGTTTGGACGACGACAAGCCTGTCGCTTGTCTGGTGTCCGCCAGAACCGAAATCCAACTTTATCTACATGGAAAAAAGGGTGGGGAGAATGGTAAGCTTTTTGTAACGGATGTATGAGCTGATTGTTGTATTTCCACCGCTCCCACCGTGTCTTTCTTCTTCCCATTGAACTTGCAAAAGTGCGACGCGCCAAGAGCCAAGAAGGGCCAAGAGCGGACAGTCGCCATGGAACTGACCCACAGAGGCGGTCTTTCCTCAGCGCAAGAAGCTTGGACGAAAGAAGGAGCGGTCGCAGCGCTGGATCCAACATCAGCCGCACCGTGGAGACCTTTCCGTTTTTCTCGCCCGAGGCGGCAGCTGGAGAGATTGCTTTTTGTAATTTCAAGGCCAGTTGTCGTCGGTCGTGTGGGGGAGTGATGGAGCTCGAAGGCAAGGTGAATTGTTGCTTTGTGGGAGATCAAGACCGCTGCCTAGACGCGGATCCGGAGGCCTACCTACTTTCCTTGGCCTCCCCATATCAAGCGCCAATCATCCTGTTGTATTGTTGTGTTTTTGTTGCGCGACAAACATCAAGATTGCGGCAAGCTCTTGTTTTTCAAGTGCACTGGGGTCTGGACATGTGGCGTCACGACTGGAAGTTTCACGTGGAAACTCAGGAGCGCCATGCCACAATTCGTCCCCTCCAGTTAAGAAGTGATCTTTAGTGGCA